CTTACTGACGTGGTGTTTACGAATCTCTCTACTCCTCCAGCTTCGTGGGCCACGCTTTCCGCGACGGTGGTTGCCAGGTGCTGTTTGCCGCTTTGCATTACTGCCGCGGGAACAGTGTCCATACACACCTCTCGCCACTACCACCGTCTGTGCATCCTCACCGCCACGCTGAGCCAGCGCGGCGGTGAGTTGCACCTTGGGACACCACCCGCCTACAATCTGTTGTGGCCTGGTTCGCCCGCGAGGGACTCACTAGGTCGATTTCGGCCCCGGCCGGGGAGCAGGCCGAGGGGGTGGAGGTGTGTGTGTGTGTGTGTCTGGCGCTGGTGTGCAGACCTTTCCGCCCATGTACCTGACGTATCAGCCGGGGTCACACAGGAGGTTTTTCACATTCTCTGTTTTTTGTTTTTTGCCCAACCTTTCCCCCTGCGGTGCTTGTCTTATTGTTTACCGCGAGAAGGGTTCAGCCATCCCTGTCCCTCGTCGCGACCGTGAAGCGGAATATGTCTACCAACAACCTAGATCGCCTTCAACCACAGGTTGCCGGAGATACATCCCGGGCAAAAGTACCTCCTGCCGCTATTATTGGGAGCCGTGCAGATTGACCACCGGGCCACCACTACGTTTAGCTCGATATGTGGAGGGCAAATATCATACCTACAACACGCATGTGTACTCTGGTTGCAAAATGACCGAAGTATAAAATTATTGCATAATTCATGACAAAAAATTCAGAACCGGGCCCATTCGGAGGGCAATTTCTGTTAGGATGCTTAATGCATGTGTAGATGGGCAGAGCCGGGTAGATATACGTCCTCCCATCAATCACATGTCGATTGTGGAGGACTTTGTGTACGACAGAGATAGCTGATTGGCTGATGGTCACGCCGCTGAGGGGGAATCCCCCGAAAGATGGTAGCACAGCAGCAGCAGCAGCACATGACACACGCAGACAACACACAAGACAACCAGCACAGCAGCACACGAGACTAGTATGAACCAACGGCAGCCGAAGGCATACATTATACGAGGCGTCGGGTTTGACTGTCAGACCCGGTGGGCTGCAGTCTGGTCTAGTTGGTAACCTCAAAGCCTTCTAGAGGTCAGGTCAGGGGATCGAATCCCGGCGTAAGCGAGTTTTTCTTGCAAAGTGAGTTTTTCTCTCGCTTCCGCTCCTGGCCTAGTGGATAGTGCTAGTTCGTGTGTACACAGAGCGAAGAGAGTGCTGAACTCTTCTCGCATTAAAACTCGAAGGCAAAGTACCGCAGGAGGGGAGGGTAGAGAGGGGCTCTTCTGTGTGACCACGGGTTGGAGTAAACGGCACTACTGCTGTGTGAGCGCTGATTTGAAGTGAAGACCAACAACAACAAAAAACAACAGTCTGTCGGTAGCACAGCAAGCGAGGGAGGCGACACAGGTCAAATCTGCTGCTGCTGCTGCTGTCATCTGCAGGCCGATCGTTTGAGCTTGACACAGAGAGTCATCCCAAAACATAGACAATGAGACTTGTGCATACAAACTGCTGCAGACCAAGGGCGGCCAAAGGAACACGTCATACGAGGCATCGAGAGCGATTTTTGAAGCCCGTTGCCTGCTGCTACGAGCGTAAGCGAGGGAAGAAAGTGGTGCACATTATTGACACAGCAGCAGCAGCAGCCGCAGTAAATGGCAGCATGCAGCAACGGCAAGCAGCTGATTCATGAGAGCTTTGTCCACACCAGAAGCTCTAGAAGGTATTCGAGAATACCAAGAAGTAAACCAGGACTTGCTTGACTTTTTGTTGTTTTGCGGACCCTTCGAGTATCATTACTTCAGTTTGACCTTTTTTAGGGTATGTTAGCCTGTGACCCACAAGAATCGTCCGCGTCAACGTCAGTATGCATACGGACAGAAAAAGGTACTCGGAAGAGAGATCGGAACGGTATTAATATGAAGACAACAACAGCAACAACAACACTTCGTAGCAGGAAAGAAAGACACGCCAACTTCCAAGCACCCCACACAGAGAGGAGGGGAAAGAGAAACTGACCCCTGACACTCAAACTTGTCCAGGGGATAATGGGACCAGTAGCGGAGATCCCCTTCGTGAGGGTACAATCCCCCCAACGTCTTGTTGAGGACGGATACCCTCTTGTTATACAAGGTTTTGTATAGGGGCTGATGCCTCGCGCAAGACCGACACACACAAGACACACAGATTATGATTTCAGAAAGCTAGAAATGACCGTATGAACCTACCGACCGAAATGCATGGCCTGTGTGATGACAACCTGTAACCGGTGCGCTGGAGCGGGAGGGTATACCATGACGCACTACTGTTAAATAGTAGCGCCTCCAGCTCTCACTATAGATAGAGTACAGGGTGGCGGAGTTGTCCGAAAATCGCCAACACCACCCTCCCGCTGACGGCAGCGCGTGCACCTGTGCGTTCACGTCACCGGAGGCTCGTATATAGTTGTATCACCGGTGTCGCCGAATAGCTCGAAACTTCAAACTTTTCCAAGGGGCATCCGCGCTCCCCGTTCTCTGCTGCGCGATGTATCTCACTCACCCCTCCCCCTCCCCGCCGCCGCCGGTGTTTCTCCGGCATCGCCGCATGGGACAGGGGTGTGATGGGCATGTCAAACCCGATTGAGGAGGAGGAGGAGAAGGAGGAGGAGGAGGAGGAGGAGGAGGAGCCGGGAGAGATTTCAACGGCAAAGTGGGTCGCGGTTCCGAGACAAGGCGGAGCCGCCGCCGCCGCCGTTGCCGACCAAGGTAACGGAGCGCTCGCCGGGGTGGCTGCGGTGGGTCCCGAGGGGGAGGCGTGGTTCGGCGCGGCCGGAGCCGGAGCTGAGGCTGCTACTGCCGGCGGCGGCGGCGGTGATCCGGACGCGGGGATGGGAGACGCTTTCGTCGCCGCGGGGGGGGGTTGGGATGGGAGTGACGTACAATTGGAGGTATACCCGTGGATCATCAGGATTTTATGTTTGTGACAATCTCGGGAGTAGAGTGTGGCTGGCATATATGCTCAGCTGCCACGGTTGGGAGTCGTCGTTGGCGAGACCGTCCTCTTGTCGGGGACCCCAAGACACTGGTGTTAAATTAAGAGCTTCTGGGCGAAGTTAGTTTCCGGGCGATGTCTTGAACCCGTTCGACCCGCACTTTTTTATGTTGTTGTACGCTCAACCACAACAAACTGACGACCATCACACAATATCCTGAGCTCCCAACGTATGTCGGATGAACAACGCACGTTAGCACTCAGTCGAGCAAGCGATGGAGGCTTAGAATCCAAGAGGTACCCGGACGATTGAGAAAACTATGCTCGTTTTTTTTTTCTTTTGTCCGTAAATCGCTGCTGCTGTGCTGTGGATGGTTCTTGTTCTACCATACGCCAGGCGCCCGCTCTTCGCCTCTTTGCGGGCTGAGGATCCCGGTGTCACCCGCTACGCGAAAAATTGCAGTACGGTGCGCGCGTTGTGTTCTTTTGTCCTTGGTGCACGCCTTTTTTTTGTTTTGTTCAACCAAAAATTTAGGCGGCTAATGTCGCGGCGGAGGCGGCGGCGGCCGTGAATCTCCACGTCCCGGGTGTTGCCATGGACAGCGGGGAGAGAGGAGGATCAGCGCAAGACGGCGGGGGTGGCGGCGACGCAGATGAGAAAACCGGGGGGGTGGCAGCCGAGACGGGGGCAAGAGTCGTAGACAGCGGCCACGGAAAGAAGCTTGAGGGCCTCGCTGTTGATCTTGAGCACGGGCTCCACGACCAGGCTCATGCTGCCGCCGAAGCGGCGTTGGTAAGACGTAGTCTTCCTTGTCACCATCGTTGTGCATACGCGTTGGGTTCTCGTTGGTCCTCCCTTGTTTGTGTGCGTGCTGTGGTGTCAAGCTTTCGGGAACCGGCTTTGCCCGAAACGGACATACACTTGCATGCCACAATTCGGACTCAGCGACGGCCTACCGTTTTGTTACAGTGCTGGTGCATGAACCGTACTCCATCGACACCGGATAAAATCTTGAAATTGGCGTCCCTTAGGACAGGTCGTTTTTGTAAGGGCGAACTCGAACGCAGACCGCGAGGGACCCGAATGAGCGAGGTGTTTTTTTTTCATCTCTTGTTGTCTTTTCTTGGAATTGCAATAAACCAAAAAACCAGGCGGCCGATGTTGCGGCTGCGGCCGCCAAACGCGCGGGGGAAGAGGACGAGGGGCCTGTGGTGGACCGCATACAGGAGGACGGGAATGGGCAGGGGGGGGTGGTGTCGGCGCCAGACGACGCTGTCCGGGAGCAGATCAAGTACCCCCAGCCGGCGCCGAAGCCGCCCGCACGCCCGGTGAAGCGGTGGATCAAGAGCGATCGACCTGCCCACAAGGACGAAGGGAGCACAGCAGTAGGGAGAGAAGAGGACCAGAGAGGGGAGCTAGGGTATGGGCAGCAGCAGCAGCAGCAGGAGCAGCAGCAGCAGCTGCTGCATAAAGACGGGGTTGAAAACCGCGCTGGGGATGCCAGGGAGAGGGGGGCGGACGGTGGAGGGTTTGGACGAGAGAAGGAGGACGGCGGGGTGCAGGGAGGGGTTGGTGAACACCCGGGGGGGACGATGCCCGGAGCGAGAGCAGGAGCAGCTGCAGCGGGGAACGACACGGAGGCGAAGAGCCTCGTGGATGCGAAGGTGATGATTGTTATTGGAGTCATGAGTTTGGTAACTACTGCTCTGGGTGTCTTGTCTATCTTTGGAGCCTCGTGGATGCGAAGGTGATGCTTGTTGTTTCAGTCATGCGTTGGTTGACTACTGCTCTGGGTGTCGTGTCTATCTTTGGGTGGTTGCCTGTGTGTTTTCGATCAGCATCGACCGCGCTATTCGGTAGATGAGATAGTGAAAAATGGCGTAGCCAGTCTTTCAGTGGCGAGATTGGACGACAATCTCCAGTCTTGGCATTCAAGATTGTAATGTGTGTGTGTGTGTGTGTGTGTTTATTAGCATCGCCCGCGCTATAACCCGATGACCAACGAAAAGACGACGTCAGTCTCAATGCGGCGGAAAACAGAGATGGTTGCTAAAGGCCATGATCTGGGACCCCGTATTGTACGTGTATGTTTTATTTTCATTTTTTATTACTGTGCTCGAATTACTCAAGCCGCTGGAGCGAGTGCCCCCCACCACAGGCGCACGGCGTAATTCGTGGTTTTTGCAGTGTCAACCGCAGCCGCGGCAATTTTATTGCTTCTTGTCAACGTGTCAGATTTTCATTTTGTACGTTCGATTTTCAAGGTTTGTTTTTCGGGGGGAGATGCATTGGATGGGGGGAACGCGGGCTTTGGTTTTGGCCGGCTGTTGGTATTCTTCACGATTCAACGCGAGTCTCTCACGTGTTTCTCGTCCTCTCCATGGCGGCTGTGCGGCTCTGTGGCGGTGTGGGCCGGTGTTTCGTGCTTTAACATTGATGGCTCTGTGTTCGTGGCCATTTGGGTGCCGCCGAGGCTTGGGTGCGGTGGAATTGTTTTTTACTGCTGTTGTCACTGGTGATGCTTGTGTCGATGTTCCTGCTGCTGCTCCACACGCACACTTGGTGCGAAATGTCCAATGTTTTTGACCGGCCAGTAATGTATGATGGAAAGTAACAGGTGGGCCTTGCCAGCCTGAGGACCATCGAGACGGAGGTGGAGAAGCATGTTGAAGAACTCCTCGGTCTCTTCACCGCAGAGGCTCAAGGTGTGACAAGAGGGCGAGAAAGTAAACGTAGACTCTCTACTCGCAGAAATAAAGCAAAGTGGGAGAAAAAGGAGAGGCAGGCGGAGAGAGAGAGAAAGACAGAGGCAGAGACAGAGACAAAGACAGAAACAGAGACAGGGAGAGACAGAGAGAGAGAGAGAGCGAGAGAGAGACAGACAGACAGACAGACAGACAAGACAGGGAGGGAGGGAGGGAGGGAGGGAGGGAGGGAGACAGGGAGGGGCAGAGCGGGAGGGAGTGACGGGGAGAGAGAGATCGACAAGGCGGGAGAAAGGGCGTGGACAGTTTGATAGCCTCTCGTTTGCTGCCGCGAGTANTGAACCCCGGGTAGGGCTGACCTTGCTGCCGTTGTCGAGGGAGTTAGAGCGGTCGATGCTAATGAAAGGAGCACTTTACCCACCCGTCGCCACGCACGGTCGGTGGGTACCCAGGCGGGAGGAAGTACCAAGCTGCGGCTCGAGGGGTGCAGGAAGAGGTGGAGGACATAAGGTCGGAGCTGGTGAAGCTGCTGAGGACTCTCAACACCACAGACGCTGGCATCCTAGGGGCGGAGCACGAGATGCAGAAGAAGGTGCGTGCCGTCCCCATGTTTGTGCTGGACCCCGCAGGCCTTTTCACCTCTCAACAGCAAAGCGTGCGCACCTCTTTTAATGTACCGACCGTGTTTTTTTTTTTTCTTGTGGTGCACTCGTCAGGAACCCTGATGTTGTGTCGTAGGAAACCGGGGGCAAGTAACGGCTGCTGTGGTATTTATTTCGAACCCCGAGACTCTCTTTGATGTTGTGTCATTATCTATGCTACCTTGATATTATTCTAACCCGCCGTTTCGTCTTGGAATATTTTCTTCTGTCGGATCTGCTTTCTCTTGGGCCGACCAAAGGAGCTCGAGCTGGTGCAGCTGCACGCGATCGAGGAGGTGGAGGGGGCGAAGGACAAGCTCACGGGCGGGAAGGTCAAGGTGGACTACGCCACCGGCAATGTGCGTCCTTCAAGTTTTGGAGAGTGTACAAAACGTGCTCACGTGCTGCTGTGCCGTGTGTTGATTGGGGCTTCGTTCTCATTCTTGTCGCCGTCGCCGTCGCCATTCTCTTTTAGTTTGTCAATTTTTGGTCCGTCCAATACGTGTGAAATTGCTACGTGTGATGTGTTACCAGCACGCGGGAAGAGTGACATGCCGTATGAAAACACCGGTTTCGGACAGCTTGACCTCGTACAACGCTGGTTCTTTATTCTTCCACGGAGTTCTTCGCCCGATTTTGCGTCGATGGGGTCCAATTTCCGCGCTATCTTCAAGTCACGCAACCCGCAGCACAGCGATTGTCGCCGAATTTTCATTACTTCTGGAATGGTACCCAGAACGAACGTAGTACGAAAGTATTTACCGGGGAGCGATATGCCATTTGGTCCTCTGAACAATCTTCCGGGTGGTTTCCAGAACGATGTCGTCCGAAACAGATTTACCGGGCCGATTTGCTATTTTGTCCTGAACAAATCTTTTGGATCTCAACCGGCAGATCCGATGGGACGAGGAGGACCTCACTGGCGACACGAAGGGGGAAAAGGTCGGCACCGGGGGCGGCGCGGACGGCACGGGGGGCGACGCGACATCCAAGTCCAAGAGCAGGGAGGAAATGCTAAAGTCCAGCGAGTGGAGAAAGGAGGTCGAGAGGATGAAGGTAAGGTAAACGTAGTTTCCATCCGGCCTCTCTCTGATTCTGTGTTTTTTTTTTCTCTCTCTTGTCTTCTTCGATTAGTCTTTTGAGGGCTGAGAGTGTATTGCTGGTCGGTACCAGGCTATGCGTAGGCATGCCACGATGCGGTGTTAACTGTGTCTTGCATCTGTCTCAAATTTACCCATCCGGCTCGCAGTAACGAGTTTCGACCCTAATGTCAGCCCTCTTGTTCAGGGCTCCCCCTTCCCTGATGTCCAGAACACGAGCATGTGTCGTCTGCCACCGTGGTGTGTTGTTTGTTGTTGTATTCTCCTCGTGTCATCTCCTTAGTTATCGACCTCTTTATCCCTCTCTGTCCCTGTCCCTGTCTTTCTGTCGTTTTGCCCGTGCCTTGGTATGTGTCACTCTCTTGCCACTTTCATCTCCCCCTCTCGTATCCTCCCTCCCGCGCCTTCGTATGTGTCACTCTCTTGTCATTCATCTCCCCCTCTCACACCCTCACACCCTCCCTCCCTCCCTCNGCAGCTTTTCCGTGAACGAGAAATAGACTAGACAGTCTCGTCACCAGATTGTCTGTGGATTGTGTATTTCATGAATGTATCCGTTTCTTGGCTTTCGTGAAGAAGCGCATGCGAGGGTCGTACCCAGCGTCAACAAGCCTGCACGTGAGAGTGCTGCCGTTAATCGCGCCCCTCTCTCCCTCCCTCCCTCCTTCCCTTCCTCCCTCCTTCCCTCCCTCCCTCCTTCTCCCTCGCTTGCCACTCCATCGGCGGCAGGAAGAGTGGGACCCCGCGCTGCTGCACCTAGACGCCACCCTCCTAAGGGACTTCGTGGTGCTGTGCATGAGCGCCGCCCTCGGAGGTGTCCTCGCCGCGGGAGTAGGTCTTCCCGAGACCCTCGGCTACATCGTCGGGGGCATGGTGGTGGGGCCCAGCGGGGTGAACATGATTCGCATGGTGAGATGGATGATGGTGTCGGCTGGGGATGTAAGGGTGTCGTCAGGGAGTCTGGAAGATCATCTATGTCACGAAGACGCCGTGGGTTTGTACAGCTTGTAGAGGCTGCATGCAGCGCTTCATGTTCTTCGCCGGGGCGATGGTGCGTTCGTGGATGTCAGGCCTTTGGTTCATGCTTTGGGGTTCTGTGAAGGTTGTGGGACCGTGCATGGTGGGTGACGCTGAGACCCCCCCGTGTCAAGCTCTCGCGGACTCCCCCCCCCTCTAACTGCAAGTGATTTTGAACGGGGGCCGCTGTGCCCATCGCGGGTTTGCCCGACCGGCAGGTGAAAGAGGTGGAGACGTTCGCTCAGTTCGGCTCCATCTTCCTCCTCTTCGGCCACGGCCTTACGTACTCGACCTTCATGAACACGGGCCGGCCTAGCGCCAACGTCTACGCGCCCCAGGTGCTGCTGTGCCTCCTACTCGTTTATTTATTCCCAGCATTAACTCCCAACACTGCACTCAAGCAGCCGTGTGGGCATAGCGGCCGTGACTTCGAGCAGATGGCGCGGTCATTTAAGTCCAAGCAGATGTATACCAATCATTCGCAGATCACCCATTCGTAGATCGCTCATTCGTAGACTTACTCAGTCGTAGGTCATCCAGTCGTGGATTACTCATTCTTAGATTACGCGTGCGTAGAAAATGCGGACGAAGGAGCACCGCGCACAGGGCCTGGCGCACAGAGTGAAGTAGCAGCAACGTGCGTATTTGTTGTGTGGAAGGAACAGTTGAGCGATGCATCGGAACACTTCCTTGTCATCGTGAAACCATTGGTATACCGCCCCTCCCGCCCCTTTTAACCACCCGGTTCAGTTTCCATCACTGACACGGTTCTTTCCTTGCCCTTTCTTCCGTCGTGTGTTTGCCATTATGTAGGGGCGGATGGGAGCGTTTACGGTGCTTTTCGTGGTGTTCTCTGCCCTCCTGGTGTGCGCAGCCGTGCTCGGAATCGACGACGGGGTAATTTTTGTTTTGTTTTGCTGGTATGGTTTTAGTTGTGCCCTAGTTTAACTGCTTGCTGCCGCCTTCACGTGCTGGACATTCAGCCGAACCAAATCACGGTCCAGAATAGTTTTGGACCGGCATTGACCAACGCCACCAGACCCATGTGCGGCACAATAGTGCCCAACGGATGGTTATAATAGTTGGTCTCCCGTGTTGAAGGTTTGCCCCCAGTGTGTAGAAGGCCGGCTCCATGTATTGGGATAAAGGTACCCTTGAAGTGGCATCGAACCTCCCGAATACCCCCTTTTTGTTGCGCGACGGCGTCGTGTTTTCGCGGAAATTACGAAAGGTGGAGAGCGTTGTCCTGTCTGCCGCCGTCACGCTGTCGTCCACGGCCATGGTGACCGAGTTCGTCGCTCACAGCCGGCTGGGAGACACGGCCTTCGCCCGCATGGTGGTCGATCTAGTCTCTGTACAAGACCTCGTCATGTAAGGGCTACGATACCCCTTTGCTATTATTCTTAGCCCTTCCTTTCCCCCCCCCACATTTGGGATGATTGATTGGTCATTGGCGATCGCTCCTGTGGGAACAGTGCTGCGTCGTCTCGAGGACGCGTGATCAATGGTCTACCAACTGGTACAGGGCAAGCAACACATTTATACGGGTTCCTTGCGTGGGGTTGACAAACCCTTTGGTGCCGCGTGCTATCTCTATGCGACAAATACCAATGCAGCGCGCAGCCAAAGCGCCGCGGTAGCCTCTCAAGCGATGTTCGCGTCGATGGCAAAGAAACGCCCCCAGCATCGCACATTCAAGTAAAAAGGGACTTCGCTGCTTCTTTGCTCGCGGATTGGGGGTGCCGGCTTGTTTACTTTGGTGGCTATGCCTGTTTTCTCTTTTCTTGACAAGAAAGGTCTGCCCCCTGATACAGCAGGGTTAACTTTTTTTTTCTTGCTGATTATTATTTTTTCGTGTTGCTCTTGGAAAATAGGTGCCCCTTGCTGGCGATCGCGTTGATCTGTCCGCTGATAAGCTCTGTTATCTTTGTCGTTTGAATAAAAAAAAAACGAAAGTCTGCTGAGTGGAAGTTTTTAAAGATTGTCGCTTGTTTTTTTGTGTCGTTTTGACTCGTCTTTTTATTTGTTGCTGGAAAAATGGTGTCCGCTGGTTGGTCGGTCCACTAATGCCCCCTCCTCCCCCCCCTCGGTGTTTACCATCGGGGTTGGGTTTTCGTCGCTTGGCAACGACGTTGTAAAACAAGCCCCCCCTCGCCCCCCCCGGTGTTTGCCATCGGGGTTGGTGTTTCGTCGCTTGGCAACGACGTTGGAAAACAAGCCGCCCCCCCCGGTGGTGATGTGACCGGCGTGCTCCGTCCCGGCTTTGTAGGGATGCGAGGTCAATGGTCTAANCCTCCGTTTTTTTTTTCGGCGGTAACCATAATGGCGGTCGAGTAGATCATGTTGTGCGGGGTGGAGAACCCTC